CACTTATAGATTAACCAAATTGGAAGGGACCTTGTAGGTCATCTAGTCCACTCCCCCCCTCACCCAAGCAGGAGACCCAACACTGTTTCTGGTGCTCCCTGAGCAGGACTCTACTTTTCTTGGAGACGTTTCACTACCCGAACTAGGTAACATCATTAGTGCTACAAGAAAACAGCCCCAGGAGGCCACAATTCAGCGCTTAGCAAAGAGTCTCTTTTATCGGTGTCCAGATTTTAACTTTGCAATGCCTCACCCCGCCTCAATATTTCAGGGTTTCCTTAAACCCAAGTCCATTGTCCGGTTTGCTTTTCCGTCCGCTGCAGGTATCCAGAATGTGCCTCCAACCCAAGTTACCTCATCCTGCACTTGAAAAGACCCCAAACTTCACCAATAACCCTCTTTGCTGCTGTTGAAGTTCTAAAATGTTTAAAAAAAGAAGAAAGAAAGAAAAAAAGAAGAATAAACTTGACCGGGGGTGGCGGTGGAACAACTTGACCAGAAAGAAAGGAAAACTGCTTAAAAAAAAGAGAGAGAGAGAAAACTTCAGAAGGGGTTGCTTTGTCTGCCTCTTTCCACAGCTTTGCCAGTTTAAAGCAGAAAAAAAAATGGAAAACTGGCTGTTGAATCTTGAGTTAATTTTTTTTCCTTCCCCCCCCCCTCCCCCCCCCCCTTGTTTGAAGAACCACCCTGTGTGTATGAACCATTGTGTGCAGTTTGGGCGTCAGTAAAAAGAGAAAAAAATTTGCACAGAGATTGCGTTGTCTCACCTGTTGTTTTTTCTTCCCGTCGACAAATTCAAGGGTATTTGGGTTTTTCGTCGCCATCCTTGTCTCTAAAAAGCTGTCAGAAAACTTCCTAGAGGGGGGGAGCACGGGGTGGACTGCTCCAAATTAAACCAGGGAGGGGGAAACGGTGTGGGGTGTAGTGGTTAAAGCACCGGGGTTAGAAACTGGGAGGAGTTCAAGTCCTGCCCCCCAACACACACATAAGATCAGAGCTTGGGTGAGTCACTTTCTCTGTGTCTGGGAAGGGAAGCCAACCACTTTGGGAATTTCAGGATTGGCCCCCAATAAATATCTATCTATCCCTCTCCCCCCACCTCTCTATCCATCTATCTATCTTTATATCTACCTTTCATCTAATTATCATTTATCTCCCTCTCCCCCCTCTCATATATCCATGTTTATATCTACCTGCCTATCTACCTTTCATCTATTTATCTATCTATCCATTCAATCCGTACATTAATCAATTTATCTATGCCATGCCTAAGCCGGGATTAGAACTCACAATCTCCTAGTGATCGGCCTGCCAAATGGTTACGAGCCTGGCTCCCACTTTTCCTGAGCCCTGACAGCTAGAACAATTTTAACTGGTGGAATGGCTTGCCAACAACTTGAAGTCATGGCTGCTCCATCCCTGGAAGTTTTGTTTTTTTTAAATAAAAAAGACCTGACAGTCATTTGTTGGGTATGGTGTAATAATAGGGGGAGTTGGACTAGATGTCCTTCAGGGTCCTTTTTTAAAGATGCTGCTGGTTGTGGGTGGCCTGCAGCAGCCCTGGCTGGCCTCAAGGGTTGAGCCTCCCTGTTGCATGTGAAAATTTACCTTATACACCTAGATATCTATCTCTACCCATTTTATTATATTCTCACACTCCCCTGTTTTTCTGAAGTTGGTTGCTTTTCCAGCACCCATGAGTTGGAGCACCTTACGGTCCCAGGAAATGCCATGTTGACACAGGTAGTGGTTGAGTCTTCTCCAAGGCGCAGGGATGCCCAGGAGAGGCTGTGCACCTGGGTGGGACTGTTCCCGCCACCCCCACCCCCCAAAATGTCAAGACAGGTAGTTCCTACCCATAGCTCCTGCACCACAACACAAAATTAGATGTTGAGACTCTAGAATAAGTACAGAGAAGAGCAACCAGGATGATGAGGGGACTGGAGGCTAAAACATACAATGAACGGTTGCAGGAACTGGGGGTGTCTATTTTAGTGAAGAGAAGGGCCAGGGGAGACAGGAGAGCAGCCTTCCAATATTTGAGGTGGGGAGGGGTTGGACTAGATGACCTACAAGGTCCCTTCCACCTCTTGTATTCTATACTCAATGGAACAGAAGTTGCCTTTGGAAGTTGTGGGAGCTTCATCCCTGGAGGCTTTCAAGAAGAGACTGGACCACCATGGTGTAGGGCAGGGGTCTCCAAACTTGGCCTGTTTAAGACTCGTGGACTTCCCAGAGTTCCTGAGCTAACATGACTGGAGGAGGAATTCTGGGAGTTAGAAGTCCACAAGTCTTAAACAGGCCAAGTTTGGAGACCCCTGGTGTAGGGTACTCCTGCTTGGGCAGTGGGGGTTGGACTAAAAGACCTCCCGGGTCCCTTTCAATCATACATCCCCAGGGTGGGGCAGAAAGTCTTAGCCCTCGGCCCGGGAGGAAGAAGATTAGGCTGCGAGAGAGATTCACGTCCCAACAGCCAAATTTGGGCAACCCTCTAAATCGGGTTAGAATTTGGCTGAGGGATTCTGGGAGTTGAAGTCCACAAGTCTTAAAAAGTTGCCAAGTTTGGAGACCTCTGCTCTAAAATGCTGCTGTCTGGAGGGGTTGATTCAGCTGCTTTGCCTAAAAATACCAGACAAATAAATAAAAATATATACAAATACCAGAAATATGTTTGTACCTCTCTCTTTCTCTCTTTTTCTGTCTCTTTCTCTTTCCCTCTCTTTTTCTCTTTCTCTCTTTCCCTCTCTCTCTTTTCTCTCTTTCTCTCTTTCTCTTTCCCTCTTTCTCTCTTTCTCTTTCCCTCTCTTTCCCCCCTCTTCCCTCTTTCTCTTTTTCCCTCTTTTTCTTTTTCTCTCTCTTTTTCCTTTTCTCTCTCTTTTTCTCTTTCTCTCTCTCTATTTCTCACTGTCTCTTTCTGTCTCTCTGTCTCTCCCTCCCTCCCTCTCTCTCTCTCTCCCCTCCTTCCCTGATCTGGGAAAATGCACACGGGGATTTGAATTCAAAAGCCACCTTCTCCCATGTGAGACGGGGTCGGAAGTTTCTCCAAAGGGGAATCTGTGTGAATTATCAGCTCAAGGAAGTGCAGAATTGCTGCGAAGACTTCAAGAATAAACTCCTTTGCACGGACCGACGCATCAGGCAGAAAATATTCTCCTGGTTTGCGTTAATTGTGATTAAAATCCCTGAGCCATCCAAGCGTCGTGCCAAGGAAGGAAACCCCCACAGTGTAGCCATCTATTCTTTATATACAAATAGCACGGTTTTTCTTTTTTCTAGAAATACAAAATGAAACATGCACACGCACGCACACGCGCACACACAAAAAAAAACCCCTCTGCGTTAAGACATATTCTCTCATGACCCAAAGCCCCAAACACAACCCTTTGTGCCATTATACACAGTTGGAGGAGAAATTTTTTTTTATAGTCTCACATCTTTTCACTCTCCGTTCTGGCTTTCCCGCCCAAGTTGTCAAATTTCCCCACAGTCTTGTCAGCTTCTGTTTTAAAAGTTCCCTGCTTTGGTAGGGGAAATAGTTTAAATAAATAAATAAAACAAAAAAACAACCCAATTCTAAACACTCTTTGTGGATGCAAAAAAAAAAAAGGTTTGAAAAATTGCAGGGGTGGAAAAAAAATGTGTGGAGGAGTTAAAGAGAGAGTTCACACCTAAGGCAATTGAAAAAAGCGTGAAACAACCACAGATCTCTGCGTGAAAATTAACTCCTAGGAATTAACGGCGCCGCCTTTTTAAAAAGCTGGGAAGTTCTTGAACTGGGGGATGCAGAGAAGAATTAAACCAGGTTCAAACCAGCCCAGACTTCAGCAAACCCTGTTCCTTACTAGCACTGATGATAAAACGACTGAGATGGTATAGGTTCTCCTGCTTGAGCAGGAGGCTGGACTAGAAGACCTCCAAGGCCCCTTCCAGCTCCTATTTTCTATTCTATTCTCCTTTTCCTTCTCCCTGTAAACCCCTCTCCCTTCTAGCTCTGATGACGTTCCCTATTTG